CGTTTTTGAGCAAACGTCGATGAAAGGTCTAATTTTGACAAATGCCAAAAAAAAAACGATACCAATTTTTGCAAACTTTGACGAATTTTTAAAGTTAAACGAGTTGTCGTAGAGCCGTAATATTTTAGTATGATGTATAAGAAAACTATGGTATCTACTGTCAAAAAAAAATTCATAAAAAATGTTGAAAAACATTTTTTCAATACTTTATTACAGGAAAACGGCCTGGCCGATCTTTACCAACTAATCAGGTCGATTCCTAGCCAAAATCTTTCGAATGGTTTTTAAATTTTCAAAATCGATTCAGAATTGCGGGTTAAAACTTGGACGAATTTTTCTTTACTTCTCTGCTATTTACAAAGAAACGGCTTAACTCATCGTCGCGCAAAATTGATGAACGCTTGTCCTCAACGAGATGCATCGAATGGTTCTTAAATTTTTGAAATAGGTCCAGCTATTTTTGAGAAAACGTCGATTTACGGAAAAAATTTGTTTACATACACATACACAAATATACTTTGGCTTGAAACGAAAATACAGAATGGCTTGAAACGTCGAGAAAACATAAAATTAGCGAATCGGATTTTTTTATGAAAACAAACTTCTTCTTCGGGAAGTTAATAACATGCACAAACCTTTTTCAAAAAAACCTTGGTATTAAAATATCTCTGGTATTTTCATAATAAAATGTTGGGAACCTCATTTCATGTTTGAGGTTATTGGAACACACAAAGAGTAAAAATAAACCCATTTAAAAAATGACTCGATAAGTCGAGTTGGTTAGTTTTGCGCAATGGTTGGTCGAGTCGTTCCTAAAATCTAATAGGTTATTTTTATTTCGATAGTTTTTCAACAGGTTTTTCAAATTTAGTTTATATTTAAAATCGTATAATTTTTTTTTAGTATCTACGTAATGGGCAGAGTTTTCGAATGGATCAAACGCCATGGAGGTGTCGAAGGAATGCAGAAGAATGCTGCCACCAAATCCAGGATGCTATACGATTTAATAGATAGTTCTGATGGTTTTTATAGTTGTCCAGTAAAACCACATGTTCGCAGCAGGATGAATGTACCGTTTAGAGTAGGTGGAGCTGGTGGAGATGAAGCTCTGGAAGAAATTTTCTTGAAAGGCGCCCAACAGAAGGGAATGCTTCAGTTGAAAGGACACAGGTTGGTAATAAGATTATTAAATGTACCCAATTATTTTAACTTAAAATCTATTAACATCATATATACTAATGTAAGACCATTCTTGATTTGCATAGTTGACATTAGTTTCCAAAACCATTACTGCTTATTTTCTTTTTCAAGAAATAATAAATATGCACACTAATGAATTAATTATTATTATGTATTGGGCAATCCCAGACAATTTTCACATGTAACTAAATATATTTATTCTGTAATGTATTGCCTATTTGGATCAGTGGTCTTTGACTCTTTGGCCACCTTTTAGACAGCATCAGATCAGCAAACTGAATCAGAAATCCCCGATTTGATATCCTAATCATTGCTGAAATTTTTACATTCAAAGAGTTTTATAAAGATTGAAACAAGAAATAATCAGTTGGTGAAAGTTCACAATTTTTTGGTGGATGTGACAAAACATATCAGCCAACTCTAAATAAGTTTTTCCAAGTTGGCAAATTGGGTTGGCAAAATCTCAGACAATTTTCACATGTAACTAAATATATTTATTCTGTAATGTATTGCCTATTTGGATCAGTGGTCTTTGACTCTTTGGCCACCTTTTAGACAGCATCAGATCAGCAAACTGAATCAGAAATCCCCGATTTGATATCCTAATCATTGCTGAAATTTTTACATTCAAAGAGTTTTATAAAGATTGAAACAATAAATAATCAGTTGATGAAAGTTCACAATTTTTTGGTGGATGTGACAAAACATATCAACCAACTCTAAATAAGTTTTTCCAAGTTGCCAAAAATGTGGCCTTATGTTGTCATGCTGGATTAAACTCTTTTCCGATTTGTCAATTCGGAATACCTTTAATGCTACCTTTTTAAACTTCTGGTAGCGTAGGTTATAGTACTTGCAAAAAAATCTAAAATGAAAATTTTTATATATCTTTACGTTTCAAAGGTTTCTGAACATTTTGGCATACCTTAGAAAAAATTGATGTATGTGTGTGTGTGTGTGGATACAATTTTTTTCCACGATTACGGGCGCACGAATTATCAGATTTAGATAGTTAAAAAAAAAATTTGATTTCTATTGATAGAGAGATGTGCTGATTAGTGTTTGACAAAGGCAGGTACAGCCATTTCGTAGATATGGGGCAACAAGTGTCAAAAACGGTAATTCCGTTTTTCAGAGAACGGAGTACTCTATTTGAATGATTCTAAGAACATTTTATTTGTAGTGACGAAATGAATAATTGATGAAATTTTTGGTAAGGCAGGTTTAACAGTTTCAGAGATACAAAGAAAAAAGTAAAAAAAAAACATATTTGTTGGTCAAAAATGAACATTAAACGTGTGCACATCAAATTATCAGATATTTGATGAAGTTTTTAAAAATGAGTCTTAATTTTTTTGTTACAACTTTGTTGGGTTCCGTACTATAATTTTTAATTTTTAAAGTTTACTTTTACGGTTGAAACAAATTTCAAATTTTTTCGAAAAAAACAAAATTTCAAAATTCATTATTGTAATTTGTGTAAAGAACTTGTTCAATACATAAACAAATTAAATTGATGTACTATAGAAATAAATCAAAATAATATATTCCAATAATTCATATAGTGATATACATTATATTCTCGTAAGTACACTATACAAGTTTTCCTGAATCTTTTCTTATTTTTTTATAAATATAATTTTTTGACACATTTTATTTTCTTTTCAGATTGGTTGGCGGCATTCGAGCTTCTATTTATAATGCAGTAACCGTGGAAAATGTCAGATGTCTTACTGAATATATGAAAGAGTTCATGAAAACGCACAAAAAATGAATATTCAAAATTGATAAATGTTTAAAAAAAAACTTCAAGACTCAATAAGATCATTACTATACTGACAATAAGTTTAGTTATATAATAATATATAAGCATTCCATAACTTGTAGTGCAATATTGAAATAAAGAAAGTTCGTAAATGAAACTTTTATTTAGGGAATAAAAATTATAAAGTGAATATTTGTACACTAATTCCAATTTTTTCTAGGGCAATGTTTCTGAAAAATTTGATATTTAGGAAGTTATTTTTTTTTCTCATTTTAACAGCGATCAGAATTTAAGGATCTTCTAGGCTGTTGTGCAAGAGTAATTGCAATCCAGCGGTTGGTCCATCTATTTAATGAATTTATGAATACAATTTTTGTAATATAGTTTTTGTTTTGATTCAGCAATCCCATGATATTTTTACTTGGAAACATATTGCCATCTCCAAGTAAAAACCGCTTGACATCAGACTGTCCGAGGCCTGGAATTTTGATTGGAACTACTTATTGGAATTTCTAACTACTAGGCCACGGTGCAGCCAATAAAAAGGATTAATCACAGATTTTGCACAGAATATATTTATCATAACTTTTTTTTATTTTTTCAGTTTTTCCAAAATTGAGAAATTAGATTTGTCAAAACTGGCTAAGCAGATAACAGGCTAATTCTAAATCAAAATTTTTAATGTGTTGTATTGATTGATTTAATTGTGATGATTTTTTATTAGATTTTTTTTGTTTTTTTATATCATAAGATAGGGTGCTTTTATTTGGCGTGAACATACTCCCGGTCTTGAAATATATGACCTTTCTTTTAAAAGCAATTAAGATGAGTTTCTCGTTAATAACTTTTACTTTTTTAACTTCCCGTAGGGCAAGTTATAGTAATCGCAAAAAAATCGAAAATGAAAATTTTTATATATCTTTACGTTTCAGAGGTTTCTGAACATTTTGGCATACCTTAGAAAAAATGGATGTATGTGTGTGTGTGTATGTGTATGTGTGTGTGTATGTATGTACGTGTGTGTATGTATGTGCGGATACAAATTTTCGTCGACGATTTCGGGAACACGAATCAACCGATTTGAATAATTCAAAAAACATTCGATTCGTATTGATAAGGAGACGTGTTGATTAGTTTTTGGCGAAGGCAGATCCAGCCGTTCCAAAGATACGGGGCAAAAAGTGCCGAAAACGGTAACTCAGTTTTTAAGACAACGGAGCGTCCGATCTTAATAATTCAAAAAACATTTGACTTGTATTGACAAGATGAAGAATTGGTCAAATTTTCATGAGCGCAGGTCTAGCGGTTTCGGAGATCTAACAAAAAAAGTAAAAAAAAATGCCATTCGGCGGTTAAAAATGATCATTAGACATATGCACATCAAATTATCAGATATTTTATAGAGATTTTAACAATAAGTATAAATTTTGTTTGCATTCCTATGGGTTCCGTACCAATGTTTATTCGTTAGACGGCGACGCGGCGCTTACGCGCATTGACAGTTTATCTTTATGCAGTTAAAGCAGTACGATTGCATTGAAAAAAAGTTCAGATCTTCCCAAATATGCCAAAATAAAGAAAACATTATTTTTTCCAAAAACAATTAAAAAAAAAAAATAAATAAAATTTTTTTTTGAAAAAAATTTTTTTTTCAAGAAAAGTAATTTTTTGTCCAATTTATAGTTTCTCAAAAATCTTATTTTGTCGAAGTAAATTTTTTTTAAAAATGTCAATCGTTTTTAAAAAAATAATAATTTTTGGTACGGGAAGTTCCAGCAATTTGCCTTAAGGCACGATGCCTTAATTGCCTTAAGACAGAATTCCACTTACAGCTAGTTATTATTGTAAACTTTGCATTTAGATTTGCAAGTGAAAGAAAAAAATTTGCATTTGACTTTTTAATATTTTCTTGACTTGAAAAAATTGTTTTTTTAAATATTAGTAAGTTTACAAATTATTATTGTTTGATCTAATAATCCGCAAAAATGGATAAAGATAAATGTCATTTATATTAATTAACGTTTTTATTCTTCAATTACAAAACTCCTCTTTTCTGTAAAATAATATCAATTTGTTTTTCTAATTCAGCATTAGTTCCTCTCAGACCCTTGATGACTTTGGCTGCCCACTCGAAATATTCATCACAATCTTCTTCAGTCCAACCGACAGGTATAGTTGTATCCAAATCTCTTAAATTGTATAATTTATCAGCCAGTTTTAGGAGTTTTGCTGCAAAACTGCTATTTGGAGCTCTCTCGATTTGCAGACGTTTGCGTTCTGGTTTAGGAAGACTCATGTCGTCTGATACCTAAATAGGTAAGATGATATTTGTAGGAATTGTTAGGATAGTACTAGGTTTTAATTTATTTGTAACTATACACATAAACAAGATTTTTACTAATTCTACTAGATGATCCGATAGACGTTGTCCTGTACCCACATCTACATTTTTATTTAATATACTATACTCATATTTACAGTTCACCTAAAAATAATAATTATTGTTTTTTAAATTACTGTTTGCACCAAAAATCGATATACATCAATATGAGCGATGTTAAATGCAGAACTGCTTTAAATTTGGATTATTTTCATTTATTTTTTTATTATTTAAGATATCCAGAATTGCATCTTAAACTTCTCATTGATATCGTAAGGGCCGAATTGTATGCATTCATCTTTACTTTTCCATTTGTTGTTTTAAAGTGAAATTTTTAACGTATTTTAAAAATATTGTTCAAAGATGCCAAGAAATTATATTTCTTGAATGATATTGAAAAAAAAAACTATACTAAAAATTTCATATCCGAATCTTGTGTTGACGCCCCCTAAGGCGTGCGCTCGTATTTAAGATAGATCCGGCCCTGATTATCACTTAATTCTATATTTCAAGTGAATTAATTTGTCAAATCCTGTTTATATGTGTATCATCCAATCTGCCATACATATACTGTATCTTATATTATTTTAATTTCTGGCACACCTCAGCTGCTTTTTGGCAATAATAATGTAGACATTTCATTTTGCTTATTCATAATTATGAATTTATTATATATATATTCTAATATTGTCTAAGCTCGTAAGTAAATTGAAATTTTTGGCAGATGACAGTTTTCATTTGTTTTCAAAACAACAAACACGTCAAACAATGATATGTTGTTTTTTGCAATAGTTTCCATTTATTTTAATATTACAATATTTCTATAATCACATACATTCTAAAAAATCATTTAAAAACTTCAGAAAGATTTATCAAAATTCGAATAATCGTTTAGGAGGAGTATATTTGCATACATCATTACAGAAGAATTTTATATATAAGATTTGTATACTTGAACATTTACTTATATGAGACCATGCTTAATTTTAGACACCACGGAGCTTTTGGATATCAAAAACTTTGATTAAGTCAAAATTGAGGAGCAAAATCAAAACTGTTTTGGGACTATTTACTAACAATGAAAGAATGAAATATAATAACACTTTTTGAACATCACAAATCGGTAAGCCCACTATGATCACTTTGGAATTCTTAAAAAAATGCATGAAGGTATGTATACGTAGAATATATGTATGTTGGACGCAGTAATAATCGGCGTACTCTCAGACAATAATTTCTGTTGGCAGTATAATTATATAATTATCTCTAATTATTTTAAATATTTCACATTACCTCCTCGACGAGATCACGCACAAATTTTCCAAAATACGATTCGATTTCTTCAAAAGACGTATTAGTGGTTTCAACAGTGTCATGCAAAAAAGCTGCCATAAGCAGCCTTTGACATCTTACACCAGCCTCATTGCTTAGAATATATGCAGTCCCTTGGTGAAAAATTAAGGTAATGAGGACATTAATTAAAAAAAATATAAAATGGGAAAAATATAAGGCAAACAGAATAACATGGTTGGGTCTGCTCAACTAAAAATAAACTTGTGGCAGGATTTGACTTTCATGAGCCCAAACCATACACCTTCACTACATGGACTGCTAGTCCTCATACGTTTTGTATGTGTAGAAGGGGACTGTGACGTCACTTAGTGAACGAGCGCTGCCGACAATCGTGGAACACACCCGATTGATTAAATGTCATATGTCATATGTTTTATTTTAATAGTGTAATGACAATTGTGTGAACTGATAATTTTGTAAGAAATGATATTAATAAATGATTTAATAATTATTATCATAATAGTTCAGAAGTGATATTAATAATATTTAATAATTATTATCATAATAGTTAATTTAATACAAATTTTATTTCTGATAGTTTTATTTCATTTACATAATGGCAATTGTGTGGATTGATAATTTTGTAAGAGTTTTGATATTAATAATATTGCCCCTGTGAAATAAATGTTTATAAAATCGAATCCACCTGTCAAAATCTGTATATGACGTTTAATTTTAGGTTGAGCACGTGGCTTATGGCATATGACATTTAATCAATCGGGAGTGTTCCACGATTGTCGGCAACGCTCTTTCACTAAGTAACGTCACCGTCCCTTTCTATCTTATTTAAAGTCTTGAAGGAGAAGTTTATGGTTTCATAAAAAATCCGATTTGCTAATTTTATGTTTTCTCAACGTTTCAAGCCATTCTGAATCGAATGAGACCAAATTTGGAAAAAGTATGTGTGTGTGTGTGTGTGTATATGTGAACAGATTTTTTGCCGTAAATCGACGTTTTCTCGAAAACGGCTGGGCCGATTTCAAAAATTTAAAAGCCATTCGATGTATCTCGACGAGGACTATCGTTTGTCAGTTTCGTGGAACGATCGGCTGAGACGTTTCTTTATAAATAGCAGAAAAGTGAAAAAAATTTCGTGCACGTTTTAGCCCGCAATTCTGAACCGATTATGAAAATTCAAAAACCGTTCGAAAGGTATTGATTGGGAATCGTGCTGATTAGTTTTTGGTAAAGATCTGCCGGGACTTTTTCTTTTAATAAAGTTTAAAAAAAAAAATCGACGATTTTTATGATTATTTTTTTGACGGTAGATATCATAGTCCTCTAGATCATACTAAAATATTACGGCCCTACGACAATTGGTTTAACTTTGAAAATTCGTCAAAGTTTTCAAAAATTGGTGTCGTTTTTTTGGCATTTGTCAAAATTAGACCTTTCATCGACGTTTTCTCAAAAACGTCTGAACCGATTTCAGAAATTTAAAAGCCATTTGATGTATTTATATGAGGACTATCGTTTGTCAGTTTTGTGCGACGATCTGCCGAGCCGTTTCTTTGTGATTTAAAAAAAAAGTTTTAACTATGGTTAAACTTTTCGTCCACATTTAAGCTCAAACTACCTAATCTATTTTAAAAAATCAAAAACTGTTCGAAAGATATTAGTTGGGAATGATATTGATTAGTTTTAGGTGAAAATCTACCGAGCCGTTTTCTTGTAATTAACTCTTGAAAAAAAGAATTTAAGCCGATTTTTATGTAACTTTTTTGGCGATATATATCGTGGTCTTATAGAACTTACTGAAATATTACGGCCTTACGGCAAGTTGTTTAAATTTAAAAATTCGTCAAAGTTTGAGAAAATGAGTAGTTTTTCTGACGTTTGTTAAAATAAAAATTAGACTATTTACTTGGTATAACGATAGAGTACTTGGTCTTAATGAACCTACTAAACCATTAAAGTCCTACGGAAACTGGTTCAATTATAATAATTGTTGATTTCTGAAAATGTACTTTTAGAAAATACTCCGTGTCAAAGTGTTCGTTCGTTTTTAATTAAGTGTTATAAATCCACTCGGAATACTTCTAATCACTCATAAATTAATTTTTTTTATTGATTAAGTCGAATATTTATACATATCGGGAAGCTCATGTAACTTGCCTCAAGGCAAAATATCAATACCAACTAGTTGACACTTACTTTGCACTCGATCAGTAGTCCATGTAGTGTGAGGTCTATGGTCCAATCACGTGTAAAGAGTTTGGATAATTTTATGTGTAGTATGTGTTTACTGTTTGTACCAGAATAAATATACAAAGTATCATTATCATTCACAATTTTAAATCAATATACCATTTTACGTTCAGGCAAATTATCTTTCATCAATAATGTATGTGATTTATTGTAACAATATTAACTACTTTGGCTATTTAATCGATTTTCTAATTCACAAAAATAAGGTCGATATCAAATAAATTTTATTACCAATGACGTGATTCACATAAGGGGTACTTGCTGCGTCCATTCGTCTGTGATCCTTGTGTTTCTTGGCAGCAAAATTCAAACATTTTGTATACAGTTTTATATCAGAATGTGACATTTTGAATTAGAAAGAAAAACAAATGACTGATAATAAGTTTTTTTATTTTTATATTTTTTTTAAAAAAAATATTTTAAATAGCAATCAGAATGCATGACAATTCTACGAGATATTTGGCTTATGTCATTCACTCGCACACATACACACACACTTTCAAGAACACATCTAAATTAATCTGATAAATATTACATTGATATTTAGAGAATCACTTCAATAACTGATTCTACTATTCTATTCCTATAAAGTTGTAGTAGTTCTGAGGGTCCTCCATATTATCTTTGGGCAGCTTCCTCTTCAGTCTTTTTGAAGTTGGTGTCTCAAGAAGCTGAGTGACTATAGAGTTTGTTAGACGTTTTAGTTTATGAAAATGTTTGACGCTGTTGATTTGTATAATTCTGTTTATAAATTCAATATGAATATCGTCGTGTAAGGTTTTACTGATTATGAACCACGAACCATCAGTGGATTTGCTCGCACAGCCTCACGATTCTATGCCATAAGTCCATATTGGTTTTATTACTACCTTGTAAATTAGAAGTTTATTGTCAATAGATGGAATTGACTTGCGTCCCAGTAGCCAGTATAGTTCAACTGTTCTTGTTCAGTGTAAATGTTATATGGTTAGACGTGGTCTCATTTATTTTTATTCCCCTTTTTTGTCCAAACCTCTATAACATTTAGATGCCTTTGTAAAATTTGCGAAGCATTGGATGCATCAGCATGTGTCGAAAAAACTGCTATGTCACCAGCAAAGGTTGGTTGCTATTGTGGTCGATTGAAAAGAACTATCGCCATAATAGTTTCATTTAAATTGTTGAAAAAAAATTTAATAAAAAAGTACGAGGAAACGACCCGACCGATCTTTGCAATAAACTTATCAACACGATTTCATTTGATGTATTGCAAACGGTTTCTAAATTTTCAAGGTCATTTCCTATTTTTTGCAAAAACTTGAACAAAATTTATTTCACATTTTTAGAGAAAAATCGATTACAGGTTTGCGAAGACAGGCCCAGCGGTTTTGGAGTTACAAAGAAAAAAATAAAAAAATAGCATTTGGTGGTTTGAAATGATCAATAAAATGATTATTATTGATTCACATATGTGTTGAAATAATGATGGACAGCTAGACAGATGGGCAGGTAGAAAAGTAGACAAATTGGAAGACAAGGAGGTTGACAACTATGTCATGATCAGTGAATTTTTATCAAATTTAGTAATATTCAGTGAGATACTTCTAAGTGTGACAATAACAAGTTATTTATTTGCTAGACCTTTATTTCACCAAACAATCATACAGTATGTTTAAAAGAATACAAAAATTTTATTTACATGAATTGAAATACAAAAATAGCACGACCAGATTAATGATCAACATTCTTGATCTCCAGATTCGCTCAGTAAACCTTTACGTCTGAAGATATCATCCAACTCTCTCTCCAAAAGAGCATTTGTACCTCGCAAACCATCAATCACCAAAAATGCCCAACGGTAATATTCATCATAATAACTCTTTGACCATCCAACAGGAATGGCTCGTTCCAAATCCCTCAAATTGTACAACTTGTCTGCTAATTTGACAAGTTTTGCAGAATGGCTGGAAGTGGGTGCATGCACGATTTGTAGGCGTTTGCGTTCTAGTTTTGGAAGATTCTTGTCATCGGTCACCTGATGTAAATAAGAAAACAATGAAAATGAACACTGGACAATGAACGCTTTTTTGGATATGAATTTATGGACCGATTCTGCCGCATAACAGACCAATGTTATGGCAAGGCTATGTTATGAAGTACTTTCCATACAAAATCGTTCTAAGTATTGACACTAGCCATGTGGTTGCTGTGCAGTCAGGCGTTTTTCTCAAGTTGTCAGATAGAAGATCTGACCTAGAAGCCGCACAAATGTCAAAAAAACGATGTTAGAGAACAGGGTCTTTTTGGCCCAGCTTCAAAACATACCAATGACGTTGCAGTTTATGTGTAAAACGCCTGAATGCACAGCAAAAACATGACATTTTGACAATATTCAGTATGATTCAGTAGAATAATGTATGTAAGTTGGAGCATAACATGGCCTTGCGATAACATTGGTATGTTGTGCGACAAAATCGGGCCATTAATCTCCAAATCCATTTTGGTGAAAAAAGTTTTGAAATGATAATTTCTTAAATATAAATAGTTCTAAATTCTAACGGCAGATGATAGTAAGTCCTTAAGTAAATCATAACAACGTTTAATCATAACCGACTCTAAGCAAAAATTGAAGAAATCTGACAACAGCACATTGATATTCATTTGATACAAAGACCACAAGCATACTACGATTGTTCTTCTGCATTTCGTGTAAACGCTATGTTGTGAGATTTATTGAAATATCACCACTGAAAATAATTACTACATGCTTTCAATTATTTAGTTGATTAATTTAAAATTGGTATAAAATATTTATAATATCAAATACAATAGATCATTAAAAAATTTAATTATACAGGAGCGATAAGTGAACTTAAATAACAATTAAAAAGTACGTTTTGTATTTTGTATTATTGTTCAAGCCGAATTAAGGACCTTGCATGATTTTTGTTTTCGAAATAAGTTTTTATCAATAATATGTGTATAGTAATATATTATAAGCATGCATTATGATTTGAGATCTATATTAATAATTTCAATAATATTTTTAAGATAAAGAGTACAAAATACATAGTTAACAATATTTAATGTTAAATATATATCTTTATACTTTATATATCATTTTGTTTAAAATGAGAACGTCAGCAGAATTTTATATAAATAAAAAATACATTTTAGAATTTTATAGACACTTTTGTAGTCTTCATAAAAAAATAAGATACTCGCATTTGAAATAAAATAAGAGCTGATTTCTTTAAATTTCTAATGAAAAATCTTATCGCTTCCTGAATGACAAAATTTACTATGACTAGTTTATTATTAGTAAAAATATAAATTTTTCTACGTTGAAATCTATTTTAAGTTTTTTTTAAAACTCTAATTAATCATCTATCTAGGCTAAAAAAATGACCAAACTTTATAGTTAAACTCAGGGGCCAATTCTGTCATAACATGGAAGATAAAATAGCGTTTATGGCAACGCTATCCTATCCTCTTTTTTCGGTATTAAAAAGTGTTAAAATACTATCTATTTGATATGCGATCATGCGTATTTTACATATTTTTATTTTTTATTTTTATTTGCATCTTTGTGATGCGCATTTCTAACATACATTTTATATGTAAAATATGCCTGATCCCACAGCAAATAGATATCATTTTCACAGATTTATCATTTTTACAGATAGCATCAAGATGTTATCTGCCATGTTGCCGCAGAATTGGGCAAATACTACTAAAACGGTGAAAAAGTTTACGAATTGATGGATAGATATTTCTGCCATGCTATCCCAAAATTGACCCCTCATACTATTCAAACGATAAAAAGTGTATGGATTAATAGATGAATATTTCAATATTAAATAAATATATTAATTTTTAATCATTTTTCGTATAAATTACCTCCTCAACAATGGCTCGTACAACAGTTCCAAATTCCTTTTCAATTTCTTGAAATGTTGTATTAGTGTCTTCAACAGTGTCGTGCAATAATGCTGCCATCAAAACATTTTGATCTTCTATAAAGGCTTCGTTGGTCAAAATCGATGCAACACCTTTTAAAACAATTAGAATTAGAATTATTAATATTTTTAGAAAAACAAATAAATATTATTCAAATATATTGAAACAAACCAAATTTTTAAAGCAAGTTAATACTTCTAAAAAAAAGTATACGACTAGGACGGATCCAATTTTTGAATCTTTAACGTTAAGAATGTAGTTGTATGAGTCATTTCTAAAAGCTGTGCCAGAAAAACAAAGCTCGAAAAATAATTTCGAGCCAGCGAAATGTTCATATAATTATTTTCTCCTAACTTTGCAAATTTTTTTTTAGAATTTGCAAAGGAATTCAAAAAATTGCATCTACGTTTTTGCCAATATATATCCTGAACCGATTTAAAAAAATTTAAATACTATTCAAATGTTAGGAAATGTGCTAATTAGTTTTACGTAAAGAGCAGCTAAATCGTCCAGAAGTTAACTAGCTGTAAGTGGAATTCTGTCTTAAGGCAATTAGGGCATCGTGCCTTAAGGCAAATTGCTGGAACTTCCCGTACCAAAAATTATTATTTTTTTTAAAAACGATTAACATTTTTGAAAAAAAATTACTTTGAAAAAATAAGATTTTTGAGAAACTATAAATTGGACAAAAAATTAGTTTTTTTTGAAAAAAAAAAATTTAAAAAAAAAATTTTTTTTTAAAAAAAAAATTTTTTTTTTGAAAAAAAATTTTTTTTTCTTTATTTTGACATATTGTGGAAGATCTGAACTTTTTTTTCAGAGCAATCGTACTGCTTTAACTACATAGGGACAAAATATAAAGCGCGTAAGCGCCGCGTCGCTGTCTAACGCATAAGCATTGGTACGGAACCCATAGGAATATTAACAAAATGTATACTTATTGTTAAAATCTCTATAAAATATCTGATAATTTGATGTGCATATGTCTAATGATCATTTTTGACCGCCAAATGGCTCATTTTTTTACTTTTTCCTCTATATCTCCGAAACCGCTGGACCTACCTTCATGAAAGTTGTATCGATTCTTCATCTTGTCAATACAAATAAAATGTTTTTTGAATTATTAAAATCGGACGCTCCGTTCTCTTAAAAACTGAGTTACCGTTTTCGGAACTTTTTGCCCCGTATCTTCGGAACGGCTTGACCTGCCTTTGCCAAAAACTAATCAGCACGTCTCCTTATCAATACGGATCGAATGTTTTTTGAATTATTCAAATCGGTTGACCCGTGTTCCCGAAATCGTCGACGAAAATTTGTATCCGCACATACATACACACACATACATACATACATACTCACACACACACACATACACACACACACACATACATCCATTTTTTCTAAGGTATGCCAAAATGTTCAGAAACCTCTGAAACGTAAAGATATATAAAAATTTTCATTTTCGATTTTTTTGCGATTACTATAACTTGCCCTACGGGAAGTTAAAAATGAAACTTCATTACTAGACGACAAACTCATGTACTGAAAAGATAGACAGAACATACAATCAAACCTCTGATAACGCAGTATTCTAGTAACGCGGAGTTCCATATCAGTTATGAAACGTGCAAATTAGTTTTATGTAAAATTCGGCTAAATTGTCCAGAAGTTAAAAATATAATTTTATTACTTAGTACTGAAAAGATAGACAGATAATGCAGTCAACACTCTGATAACGCGGTATTCTAGGAACGCGGCTTCAATGCAATTGAAAGAACGATAGCCCTCTTCAATATAACGGATTTCGTTCAACAACCCATAAACTTATAAATGACTCTATAGTAATTAGATCCTGTAATAGATTTTATTATCGAGTTTTATTGTGGACAATTTTATCTTTTACAATATATTTATATAAACATGCAAGTTTATATCATAGCTCTAAATGACAGATTTTTCCGAAAAAAAATTTCAAAATTTTCAAAAATATACAAAGTTTTATACTTCAAATATGAATTTTTCAAAATGTATATATTTCAAATGGGTTATTCTAATCGTAGGAAATGTATCCTCAGATGGATTCATTCGGCACCTCCTAATAATTTAGGAACGATTAAATATATAGTGATTATATAATTATCTATTTGAAAATGTATAAAACAATTGTTGTAAATCATTGATCAATTTTTATTGATAACTGATTTTTTCCCTCGAATATATAATTCTGGTACGGTAAATTCCAGCAATTTGCCTTAAGGCACGATGCCATGCACTACTAGTACCTTAGTTTATGTTTTATATTTTATTATATCCAAATATACAAAGTCTTCAATTCGTAGAAATAAGGTATATTTTGAACCTTACCCAACTTTATATAAACTCTTTATTTTTCTAAACGAATGTATAATTAACTTCCCGTAGGGTAAGTTATTGTAATGGGCCGAAAATCGGAATTGAAAATTTTTACATTTCTCGACGTTTTGAAGGTTTCTAAACGTTTTGGCATACCTCAGAAAAAATGGATGTGTGTGTGTGTGTGTGTGTGTGTGTGTATGTATGTATGGATACAAATTTTCGCCCACGTTTTCGGGCGTACGGATCAACCGATTTGAATGGTTCAAAAAACATTCGATTCTTATTGATAGGGAAAAGAGCTGATTAGTTTTTGGCAAAGGCAGGTCCAGCCGTTTCGGAGATACGGAGCAAAGAGTGCAGAAAATATAAATCGAATTTTTGAGAGAACGGAGTATCCGATTTGAATGATCTAAAAAACATTCAATTAGTAATGATTGCGAGAAGTGTTTATTAGTTTTTGGCAAAGGCAGGCCCAGCCATTTTGAAGATACGGAGCTAAATATGTAAAAAATGGCAATTTTTGAGAGAACTAAGCGTCCGATTTAAATGATTCAAAGAACTTTCTGCTTGTCTTAACAAAATAACTGATTTTGGAAAAAAAAATTTGTTCCAATTTTTTTTTTTTTTTTTTTTTTTTAGTTTTTTGTATATCGAAAATATTTCAGATTTTATTTTTAATTCTGACTATAGTTCTAATATACTTTACAAATAATTTCAACTCTGCAATACAGTTTATATAATTCTTATAAATATTAGACAATGTTACAATATTTAGAATAATCTATTTGAAAACATTCAGTATTCCACGAACATTTCGTTACGGTACGGGAAGTTCCAGCAATTTGCCTTAAGGCACGATGCCATAATTGCCTCAAGACAGAATTCCACTTACAGCTAGTTTATTACTTTTTTGTATTCAAAGGTCTCCATACAACGCGGGTCAAGTAAAGTTATTTATTCCAGTTCTTAGTTTTTTATACCGCGGTTCCCATATAACGCGATCACCGATTATCATAGAACGCGCTACGAATTTATCTGATTTGTACATTAGATCCGAGTTTCTTATAGCGCGGTTTCCATGTTGCGCGATACACACTCATCGCAACTTTTAAGTGTCTACTAATAAGCCAAAAAAAGGCTTCTAGTATTTATTTTGAATCTTCGAATAAAATTTCGCTGAAGACGAATACACCAGATGTCACCACTAAATCGTAGGTTCTTTCACAAGGTCACAACAATTGATGACATTTGTCAAAAATCACAAACTTCAAATAAATATTAATATAAAACTAAATAATAATCATATTTACCGATTGGATGATTTATGTAGGGCGTTTTTTCCGCGTCCTTCCTCCTTTGATCCTTGTGCTTCAATGCCGCAAAATTTACGCATTTTGTATACAAATGGATATCGAATTTTGACATTTTATTATTTTTGAAAATGTGTTTTATCACTTGCGACAGGAAATTTTTGTACAAATGTCAGATATCAATTTTTATTTATATAATTTTAGTGTTTTACTTTGTGGCTTATTTATTACGGAATGCAATTATAAATGAAATGCTAAACTTGTAGGTTAGGCAAAAAAGATGCTGTCGGCTAGGCCAGGTGTTGACAACGTGTTGATGCAAACCCAGTATAAAATTTTGACAAAAATCTATACTTTTCAAAAATTTTCGTATTATTTAAATATAAAAGTTGTTATAATTTTATGTGTTAATTTGCACATTTTTGTTTTCCGGAAGGAGAATTTTATGTTTTTACTAAAAAATCCAAACGACACTCCGTATCGTTTGGGACCAACATTGTAACTAGTGGTGTATGGCATCGTGCCTTAAGGCAAATTGCTAGAACTTTTCGTACGTTAATGAAATATTTGAGGAATATTAAATGTTTTCAAACAGAAAATAAATCACTAATAATCTAAAAGAAAATACCTAATCAATCGGATTTATAATGAAGAACATTGTCAAATATTTCTAAGTATTTAATAAACTGAATTACAAAGTTAAAATTATTTTTTTGAAGTAGATAAGTAATGTTTAGAACTTCAGCTGGAATTAGAATTAAAATCCAAATTATTTTAAAAAAAAAATGTATAAAAAAAATTCATTCCCCAAAAGCAACCGTTTTGTCAACACAAGCACAAAAGTTTTTAAATCATTCTAATCGGATGCTTAGTTCTCTCACTGCACCTTTAGCTATATATCTCCGAAACGGCTGGATCTGCCTTTGCCAAAATCTCATCACCTCTTTTCCCTATCATTGCGAATCAAATGCTTCTTAGATCATTCAAATCGGTTGATCCGTTCTCTTAGAAAATAACATTTTTAACACTTTTTGCTCCATATCTCCAAAATTGCTGGACCTGTCTTCGTCAAAAATTAATTAGCACGTCTCCTCATCAATAGGAATCGAGTGTTTTCATCCGTGCGCCCGAAATCGTCGACGAAAAGTTGTCTCTACACATCTAATTTTTCTGAGGTATGCCATAATGTTCAGAAACCTCTGAAAGGTGAAGATATGCAAAAATGTTCATTTTCGATTTTTGGCGCATTACTATAACTTACCCTACGCAAAGTTAAAAAGTATGATGTGTATGTGTATGTAAGTTAAACTTTGTAATTTTGTCAACATTTTTCTAACAACGGCTGAACTGATTTCAAATCTGTAACACCAAATTGATGTAACTCGCTAAGTAGTCGCGTTGATTAGTTTTTGCTACAATCGGTCCAGCTGTTTCTTCAGAATCAACAGAAAAGTGAAGAAAATTGAATTAAAATGTATTTTTTAGCCAAAAATCCTAAACCAAATTTAAAAATTCAAAAATGGTTTAGAAGATATTGTTTTGGAATCGTGGTGATTGATTTCTGGATACATGGCATTTTGACAGTATTTAGTACAATTTTGTATGAGAAGTGCTACGTAACATATAGCCGCTACGTAGCATTGTCTATTTTACGACAGAATAGGCCTCTAATTCATACAACCTTTAGTAATAAGTGATAGTCCTTTCTACCTGTGTTATAGTTTTATTATTAATACTGAACACTATAGAAGATAAGTCCACAATCGCTTTTTTAATCGGAATATTGCTGCAATGCCGGGTAATGGCTATTTTTACTTGAAAACATATTGCTACTTTTGTTTTCGAATGAAAATTGATTTCACTTCTGCTTGACATCAGGATGAGTATGAAACCTGAAACTTCTGGTCGGTAGCTCTAAGAGCACCCTCTGAGCGCCCAAATAATTTAATATAATCTATAATGACTATTTTCATTTGGAAAGATAGTGTTACTTATATTTTCAAATAAAACTCGATATCGCTTCGGCTTGACATCAGAATGTCCAAGATAAGTATCAAACCTGAAAGTTCTGATTGTTAGCTCCAGTTAGCTCTAACTACAGCGCAAGAACCACAAAAAAATTTATTTAATTTTGTCTTTAGTAATAGTCATAGGTAATAGTATAGCGAAATGTTTCAAACCTCTGACCTAAGCTACAGGTAAGCTCTCGATAGATGCCAGCACCTTAATCACGGAATTCAATATTCATACCACTATGATATTACAGAAATCAACTAATTTATATTATTTCAAAATATTTCTTTGAAAATCGATTACTTTGTGGAATTTTTGAAACTTTTAATGCGATTAATAACAATTTATAGCTTTAAGCATGCTTATTTTCAGAACAAACTTTAGATAATTCAAACACAATATGATCACAACGTTGTAGCATATGTAGGGGAAGTACGGGCAAAATGACTTGCTGTTTCATTTTTTAGTGATATACTTATATTTATGTAATTATATTATAACCAGTCACAATCGTTTTTACTCACCTTTGGTTCATTGACTACCAGTAACATACAGATTAATTAAGTAGGAAGTATATAAGATATTTATTAGGGAAAAATGCTACTAATTGCAAAAACCATATAAGCCTACAAATGATCTTGTAGTAAAAAATTACTTTTTAATAACTTTATTTATTATTTCTTCATATTATACTTAAGAAAACAGTTGAGAAATAAATCGGATGGTAAAAACCAATCACATTTGACAGGTTTCATTTTTTTTCTTGGCTTTGAATAAAATGTATAAGATATTCGTTTGAAATAAATGGTTCATATAAATTTATCATAATTTTAAGTTTTAAGTTAGCTAGTCCGCAAAAGAAGAACTTCTTCAGAAAATCTAAGACTTGAAGTAGTATCAATAAATAAAATTAAACTGAATATATAATACAATATAAACTTGATGATCATATTTTCAAGTTTCAAGTTTGTTAAACTCTGCTTCGGTCTGAAAAAGATTCAATTTTTTAGAAAAGGAAATAAAATAAATCTCTGAATCAGAATCACTATGAGCAGACTTCTTAAAAGACTTGGCTTTTTAGATTCCAATCCAAATTTTTGTAGTATCCTATACCTAATAATAAGTCTGGTATCATTCTGAATTATCCTATAGTAGACTACTATATGTATATGTACTACTAATGTATTCTAATTTTAACTCAATTACTAAATATACTTCAATCACACATAATACGAGTACATCACAAAAATAATTAAGTGCCTACAAATTATTATTTAGCGCAAGTTAATTTTTCTTAATTTTATTTTTGAGTTTTTTGTATTATATTTAAATTAGTATTAGTATTTACTTATGTGCACCATTATAATTGCATTTTGAACCTCTTTCTAATATAAATAAATAAATAAAAAGATAAAAGATTATTTGAAGTATATAGCTGTATTTTTTTGAGTTGTTAGTATGGTAAACCCTTGTTTGGTCCGAAAAAGATAAAAATTCAACTTTGTACATTAGTGTCAAAAACAGAATTAAATCAATCATATAAAAACTTAATTTAAACCAAACTAAACCGAAAGTAAACCAAAAATTTTAAATATAAAAAATAAACTAGCATCGTACCTTAATGTAAATTGCTGGAACTTCCCGTACAGTAAATAAATATAAATAATAATTATAGAAAAAATTGTTGTCTTACTAAACTAATCGTTTCTTTCGATGGCTCTATTTTCTCAAAAACTGTCATCTTTTACACTTTTAGCCTATTATCTCTAAAACTTATCTATGCCAAAAACTAATCACCACGTCTTCTCATCATTACCAATTGACTGTTCTTTGAATATTTTCTGCATCGGTAAAAATTGAAAGTTGTTTGAATATTTCAAATCGGTGGGGAAAAAATTGTATCCACACAGAACACACACACATCAATTTTCTCTAAGGTTTAGAAAGTTATACGGTAAGTTAATTGATCAATTTTAATTGATTATTGATTAACTCTCTTGGGGTAAGTTATAGTAATCGCAAATAAAACTAGTGGGGCGCATGCATCGTGCCTTAAGGCAAATTGCTGGAACTTCCCGTACCAAAATTTTTTTTTTTTTGAAAAGATTAACATTTTTGAAAAAAATTTACTCTGAAAAAATAGATTTGTGAGAAACTATAAATTTTTGACAAAAACTTACTTTTTGTTGAAAAATTTATTTTGAAATATTTTGGAAATTCTGAACTTTTTTTTCAAAGAAATCGTACTGCTTTAAATGCATAGAGACTAAATATCGAAGCGCGTAAGCGCCGCGTCGTCGTCTATCGGATAAACACTGGTACGGAGCCCATAGGAATGTTAACAAAACTTATACTTATTGTTAAAATCTCTATAAAATATCTGATAATTTGATGTACATATGTCTAATGATCATTTTTGACCGCTAGATGACATTTTTTTTACTTTTTTTACTAGATCTCCGAAACCGCTAGACCTGCCTTCATTAAAATTTGATCAGTTCTTCATCTTGTTAATACAAGTAAAATGTTTTTTTAATTATTCAAATCAGACGCTCCGTTCTCTTAAAAACTGAGTTACCGTTTTTGACCCATATCTTCGGAACGGCTGGACCTGCCTTTGCTAAAAACTAATCAGCACGTCTCCTTATCAATACAAATCGCATGTTGTTTGAATTATTCAAAACGCTTCATACGTATTCCCAAAATCGTCGACGAAAATTTGTATCCGAACACACACACACACGCACACACACATACACACACATACATCCATTTTTTCTAAGGTATGCCAAAATATTCAGAAACCTCTAAAACGTAAAGATATATAAAAATTTTCATTTTCGATTTTTTTGCGATTACTATAACTTGCCCTACGGGAAGATACACATTAGACACAGTTTACACATTAGACGACTACGCGGCGCTTACGCGCTTTAATATTTCGACTCCAAATCATCTATGCAGCGGGATTGCTTGAAAACAATGTTCGAAATTTTCAAAAAAAAATCAAAATACAAAAAAATATCAAATATAAATCAATCTAAATTTTCAAAAAAGTCAAATTTTTCAAAAACTGCTTAATTTCTCAAAAATCTATTTTTTAAGTTTTGCAAAGTTTTTATTATTAATTTAGCAATTCCAGCAATTAGCCTTAAGGAACGATGCCATGCACCACTATAGTTATTTGTATTTCTCGAATGTTTATTTACGGTACAGCAA